ATCACACCAAGTGGCAAAAAATGCAAGAATTATGACATTGACACCAGGAAATCACGCTCCAGAGAAAAGGCCAAGGATGGGATTAGACAACCTTTTGATAGACCTGCCACTCATAGGTCTCCATGCCACTCATGGGTCCCCTGAGTTGTCTCATCAGGAGTCAGGGTTAGAGAGGAGAGTGTCTAGAGTAGAGGCTTGGAAGACCCTTTTGGTCTAGTGGAGTGAATCCCCATGACAGTCATGGCAGAGTCACCATAGCAACAGATGGACAGCCAGCTTAGACCTAACTGGACAGAATAGAATGAGAAGAGGCTGTTTGGTTTCTGGAATACTCATGCCGATGAGAGATGTGCTGCTGCCAAGAGAAAAAGGATGGACCCAGGAGCACAGTAGAGAGGCTGGGTGCAAAGGGGAGCACCCTAGCTAGACAGGAGCAGACTCTCGGACTTTGGAGACAGGCCAAGTGTTTCTGATTTGGTTTCGAAATTGCTCGGGACTAATGACTCCTTTCCTCCTCCCCTTTGTTTTTCCTCTTTTGAAATGAGAAAGCATCGAATAGCTGTTTGGTGCCTGTCGCACCGCTGTATTTTTGGAGAAGATAATTTGTTTTCCAGGTCCGTAGATATAGAGGAATTTTCCCTGGGGTGACTCATGATCATGCCTCACCCTTGTCTTGCCTAGATGATGAGATCTGGGACCTTCGTTTGATTCTGTAATGAGCTGAAAGTTTGGGGGATGTTGGAATGGAAATGGATGTAAGTAGGAACAGCGTGAGTCTTTGGGGCTAGAGAGTGGACTATGGTAGGTTGAAAATTACTTACCACAAATGCACACCATAATCCTTGGAAGTCGTGGATGTTTTGGGATGGATGATGGGATTTTTGAAGATTTGATCGTATCGAGGATGTATTATTCTGAGTTACCTGGGTTCTAAGTATCACAAGTGTCCTGATATCTATAGCTATAGTAGAGGAGAAGGCAAGGTGATCACAAGCCAGGACTGATGTGGCCAGGAGCCAATAAATTCTGGCAGCTTCTAGAAGTGGAAGAGAAAAGGAATGGATTTTTTTTTTCCTGGAGCCTCTAGAACTAATTTAATACTTTGATTTTTGACCCTTAAAGTACATTCTAGATGCCTCATTCCCATAAGCATAAATAAATACTTTCGTAGTATTTTAAGTCACCAGACTCATGCTAACTTATCATAGGGTCAATGGGAAACTCATAAGGGAATCTTTAAATTTTTCAGACTAGTGCACTTTTATTCATAATCCTCAATAATTTGTCTTTGAGATGATTTTCCATATCGCAGTGGCAGTCATTTGTCAGCAGTTTTAAGGACATCCCTGCCCATTTGCCACTGCTTTTGTGTGGTTACAATAAGCAGCACTGTCTGCTTTGGTTCTGCTTTGTTTTGGGACGGGGTTTCACCATGCAGCTAAGCCTGGCTAATCCTTTAACTCTTTATGTCCAGTCTATGAAAGACACAAGCTTCGTTGCGCTATTCCCCCAAGCTCAGAGGAATGGGAACAAGCCAGCCAAGGGCACACAAGAGCATGGTGTTTACCAACCAGATGAAGCACGGCACACTGGCATGTTGTCAGAAACACCGCATCTTAAAATTGAACCAAGGACCAAAATGAGGGAGGGAAGGGCACACCAACTTTGGGCATGGACTGCGCGAGACAATGTCAGTTGTACAACTGGAGAAAGGGGGAGAAGGAAATTACACAAAGCCAAGGGAAGCCTTCACTATGGTATCCAGAGGCTGTAGCACCAAGGTGAAGGTTGGGATGTTTGCTAGTGCAGCTTTACCTGGCCCGCCTTCTGACCTGCTGCCCCCTCAGGCTGTGGGGGTCTACTTCTACCTTACATGGGCACGCTAAAGTAAGAACACCAGGAACCGCTCTGAAAGGCTATGGGAGAAAAGCGAGGCAATGATCTTGCTTGGCCTTGCACTAAAAGACCCTCTCCTCCAGGCAGCCTTGGAGAGTTCTTGTCCCTTATAGAATCACTCTCACATATAACATATTCATTTGTAATTTATGGGGCACGACCTGCCGATGGACACCGCCTTGCACTGTTTATGAAGGGCATAAACCAATGGAATGATATTACACACAATTGTACCAGAGTGTCACCTGAGATAAACACACACTGTGGAGACACCTCTGTGTGAGTGCGAATCTTGTGTGCATCGCTGGAGGGCCTTGAGAGAGAATCTCTCCCTGTCTGTCAAATAAGGCAGGTCTATCTTAAGGGGTTTTCACGTGGACAGGAGGCAAGGCTCTTTCCGGAGCCTACATTTTCTGTCTCCCACTAGCATAGGAACAGGATGCCCGCTGGCAAGTTCTGGTGAGTTTGGGCTTGACACCATGCTGGCCTCCTCTGAGTCTGCTTGCTTTCCTTTTGAGCTGGTCTGACACCAAGTATGACTCTATGTTTCTTAGATTTACCTTGTTGTGGGGCCCCCTTGCTCTACTTGGTTCATATAGTTGGTGTACAACCACGGATCTGGATTCTCTTGTTGGCTCTGGCCACATACCCTATGCTGTTTTGTCTTGTTCAATACTCAGTCTTGGCTCCAGCTTGGCCTACATGTTGCCTTACTAAGAACATCCTTCTGGTATCTGGTCCAGTGACTCCCACCAGTGTTACCCACTGAAAGGAGAGGACACCACAAAACCACACTCCACACCTAGCCTTTGATGATACAGAGGAGGCTGACTCCTGTCCATGATTGGCTCCTGTCTGATATCGTCAACCCTTAGTATCAAGGAGAGCTTTGCTGCCCCTGAAGTTGAGAAAACCCAATGCAAATGCTGCCCAACAACTCAATTATGCTGGTAAAAGGAGAAAGAAAAACAGAAGGAACATTCAAAAAATAAATGAATACTTCCCTGAGTTGAAGAAAGCTTAGAAAGATCAAGCAAAATACAAGATACTTCAGAGGGAAGGAAAGTCCATTCTTCTTAGTGATAGTTAATTTCCAAATACAGTCCTGTCATCTATAAAAAGGATATAAAGAGAAAGGAGGAAATGGGTTATCTATGGGGGGGACCTCACTCCTAGGCTAGTGTAGATCCTCTACGGTTTACACATCTCAGGACAAGGAGAGCGGCTGCCGGGCACTGATGGAGGAGCTGCAGCGCTGGATGGGACTGACTGTGCAGCTGTGAGAGCTGCAGCGCTGGATGGGACTGACGTGCAGCTGTGAGAGCCGCAGCGCTGGATGGGACTGACGTGCAGCTGTGAGAGCCGCAGCGCTGGATGGGACTGACGTGCAGCTGTGAGAGCCGCAGCGCCGGATGGGACTGACGTGCAGCTGTGAGAGCCGCAGAACCCGTTTCTTCAGCAGCAGAGGAGCTTAACTGCTCACGCACGCTAGACAGACTAGCACGCTAACACAGCAACAGCAGCAAAACAGTCTGTGAAGTCGTACTTCCGCTACCAAGAGCAAGCTGAAGAGTCCAAAAGAGGCAAAGAAGTGGAGAGAATAAAAAAAAGTCAATAAAGCAATAACCCATGCAAGCATAAATGCTAAAAGTAAATCTTGAACATGCTTCACAATAATTTGCATCTTCAGTTTAATATGATCATGGCAAGAATTTGTGGGTGAGCGCTGACAGGACATTAGGTATATTTTTATAATGTTTAGATAATGCTAGTGAATATTAATTTAAAAATATGATTATAAGCGTGTAGATTCTGAAAGAATTTAGGAATTTCATGATAACATTGGTAAAATGATAGGAATGATCTGAATAATATGATCAACAAACTAACAGACATTATTATTACTGTTTGTATGTACTAGTACTATCTGTACAAAGTAAAGGGTTTCACAATGATGTTTTTCTATTTGCATGCAATCTACTTTGATCTTATCCCTCCTCCATTACTCTCTCTTGACCTCCTGGCTTCCTCCTGCTTCACCGCTTTTCCCATCCCTAATGGACCCCTTTTACTGTTATGACCTTTCTGCCCTTAAGTTCCACATACAAAAGAAAACTTAGGATACTTTGGGTTTTTCTGAGTTTGGCTTATTTTGTTTAGTAGATGATCTCCATCCATTTTCTGACACGTTAGTAACTTCATCCTTTAGGGCTGAATGAAATTCTAGTATCTGTAAACTCTACATCTGCTTGATCCTTTAATTCCTACAACAGACAACACGTGAGCGCCCAGGCTGACTCATGTCTTGCCCACTGCAAACAGTGCAGCGTTGTGTTTCAATACCCCAGTGTTTCTCGTGCATGCTGACTTTGGCCCTTTCCGGTCTGTAAACAGGAGTGTTGCAATTAGATCACGTGGTAGCTCAGGTTTTCATTTACTCTAAGGAGCCCTACACTGATTTGCATGGCCGTCGGACAACTTGCATTGCCACCCAAGTATAATCCCAAATAGTGGATGAGGATTCCCTTTTCCCATGCATTCTTGCAAACAGTTCTTGTTTCGGTTTTCTCAATGATGGACATCCTGACTGGAATGGGACAGAATATTAATGTAAGATTTATTTATTTATTCTGTTTGCTTAAAAACAAAACAAAACAAAACAAAGCAGAGTTATTCGGTAGCCCAAAATGGCCTGGAACTTACTAATTACTCTAGACTGGCCTTAAACTCAACGTGATCTTCTGGCCTCAGCATCTAAGTGCTAAGATAAATGCACCCCACCATTCCCAGATTTCAGTGCAGCTCTGCGTTGCATTCACCTGATGGTTGGGATAATGACTGTTTTTTTTTTTAAAATCACGTATTGATTAATTATTTTCTACTTCATTTGAAGAGTTCTCGCCATTTCATCTGCCCACTTTTTTTTTTTAACTGATAATCGCTGACACTCTTGGTGCTCCACTCTCTTTGAGTTCTTTCTGCATTGTGTGTGAATTGCCTGTCAGATGAACAGCGGGTAAAGATTTCCTCCCATTATGTTGGTTGTCTTTTGCTCTATGATTTCCTTTGCTGGGTAGAGGCTTTTTTCCCCGATCAATAGAACACTATTTCTCAGCTCTTGCAATGATTTCCTGAGCTCCGGGCGTTCTTTTCAGGAAATCCCCACGCCAATACCTTGAAGAATTCCCTCTGCAATTTTTTGCCAGTAAGTGCAGAGTTTCAGGTGTTACTTTAAGGTCCCCTTTGAGTTGTTTTCAGACATGGACAGAGATGGGGCTCTGGTTTCTTCCTCTGACATGTGGATTTCCAGTTTACTAACAGAAGAGGCTGTCTCTTCTCCACTGTAAATTTTCAGCACCTTTGACAAGAATTATGTGACTGTAACTCTGTAAACTTGCTTCTGGATCCTCCAATCTATTGCTTTCCATGGCCAACATGTCTATTTTATACTCCTACCATACTGCTTTAGCTACTGTGGAACTGTAGCGTTCTTGAAGTCAGTTATACCTCCAGCACTGTTCTTTTTGCTGAGTTTTTTTTAAATATTTGGGGTCTTTTGTATTTACATATAAATTTTCAGACTTTTTTCGTATTTCCTTGAAGAACTCCATTGGAACTTAAAAAAGATTCATTTGCTTATTTTTTTTATTAATGTGTGTATGTGAGCGCCTGCGTGAGTGTCTGTGCATTCAGGTGTCAGGGAGGTAAAAAAAAAAAATTGTCAGCTCCCCTGTCACCGGAGGTGCAGGTAGTTGTGGGCCACCTGCCGAGGGTGTTGGGAGCCTAACTCAGGTCCTCTTCAAAGAGCAGTTCATAATCTTATATTCTGAGCCATCTCCCCAGCCCTGCATGTCATTAGGATTTTAAGAGGTTGTAATGAAGCCCTAAATCTCTTTCAGTGATGTGGCCGTTTTAATGATATTAATTCCACTGAGGTCTATTTTGAGCTTCTAGAGCCGTGGTTCTCAACCTGTGGGTCGTGACCCCTTTGGCAAACCTCTCTCTCTCTCTCTCCAAAAATAGTTACATTACTATTCTTAACAGTAATGAAATTACAGTTATAAAGTGGAGACAGAAATAATTTTATGGTTGGGGAGGAGTCACCACCACATGAGGAACTATGAAAGGGCGGAAACATTATTGGGGCGGTTGAGAACCATTGTTCTAGAGTCTTCAGCAGCTTCTTCCTCCAGTCAGGGCTAGAAAGTTTCCATTGTTGTGGCAGTCTTTAACCCTGCTGTTGATAGCAAGTCCTAGGCCTCTCACTTGCTGTGACTGCGGTGGCTACAGTTGCTTCCTCTCTTCCTGTTTCAGTAGGGCAGCTGTGGTGTGTTGGAAAGCCATTGCTGCAGGGATGGCCACTTTTATTCTGACACTCTGCTGAAACATTGTATTCTAATGCTGGCATTTTCAGGTGGGCTCTATAGGGTAGAGAATCATATAACCCGCACAAAGGGATACTCAAGGATCCTCTTCCTTAATGTATTCCATTTAGCTGTTTCTCTTTCTACACTGTTCTGGCCAAGATGTCAAGCACTTCTAGGAGCGGTGGCAGTGAACATTCTTATATTATTTCCAATTTTAGAAGAAGTGTTTTCTGTTTTCTCCCTATTGAGTACAATGGCTTTAAAAAATTAATTAATTAATTTTACATTCTGGCCACAGTTTCCCCTCCTGCCTCTCCTCCCAGTCCCTCTCCCCCTCCCTCCCTCTGTCCCTACCCCTCAGTTCACTCCTCCTCCATTTAATGTTTGTTAGGTGTCACCTCTATTATGCTGTGTTAGTTACTCCTTGGTTTTGTGATCAAATACCATGACTTTGGCAACTTGAGCAGCAAGAGGTTATTTCCGCTTCGGTTTCCAGGGGGAGAGTCCATAATGGTTGAATGAATGCTGGAGCGGGCAGCAGAGAGATCACACCTTCAGCAAGAAACATGAGGCAGAGAGAGCGAACTGGAAGTGGGTGAGGATGTATACTCCCAAAGCCCATCCTCAGTGACCTATTCCTCCAACGAGGCTCCATTGACTAAAATCCCTATAACCTACCCAAACGGTGCCACCAACCATGCAGAGAACCATGCATTTAAATATCTGAGATATGGGGGTCATTTCTCATTTAAGCAGACTCGGTTTGATGAGAAGACCCTCTTAGGATGGCTCTTTGCTCCAGCACCACTGAACAAACCAGAAGCTAAGGGCAATTATTCCGTTTGCATCTGCCTGCTGTACAGCTATTGGGTCTCTTGTATTAAACTCTATTTTTGCAGAGTGCCAGACTGAACACCTTGGAGCACTCTTTTGCTTAAAGTCCTAGTGAGGGGATCTCATCCTTTCCCTAAGTGTTGCCAAACGCTCTGTGTTAGAGTTGATTGTTTCTTTGAAAACTTGAACACCTACTCTGGGTTTCACCCGATCTTTGTCTACCAGTTGCTCCCCAGCATCTTTCCACACCACCTCCCTCTGTCCATATCTGTGCCTTTTTTAAGAGTCTCTTAGAGATGGAGAAATGTGCTGGTTGTCTACTGGGCCATATTTTCTCCCTAAAGGACATTCTCATTGCCGGTAGATATTACTCATTCTGCTTAGATGCCCAAAGAGCAATGATTTAATATGAGAATATACATAAAGCTACCCATAAATTCTAAAAAGTTGAAATTTTATGGCAGCCATTCTAAGCACAAAGGATTAAACAACAGAACAAACCAACAGCTTTGTGATTTAAATAGCATTAAAATACCGATTGGGTTAATGGTAAAGTGCAATTATTGAATGTTCAGGAAAACATTCTATGAGAATAGGATATAGTAAAACCTATGGGTTGGGATAGGTGGCAGCTGTTGACTATACCCAGAGGCAAAATCACGTTGCTTGTCACAGAGCAAGAGGAGGCGAACGCAGCGAAACAAAGGCCCAGCCAAAGAAGTTGTGCAGTCAGCATGAAGGACAGCTGGAAGATGAGGTTAGCCGAGCTAAGAGTGGTAGTTAATAATTGGCAAAGCAAACCAACAGAATTAAAAACAAGCTCTAGAGCAGGCTCTTGGTTAAAGTTTGCCCTAGACAAACTTGTGCTACATTAACTCCAGAAGAGAAAAAAACAAATGCATACTCTTAGGAAGGAAATGAGCTAGGACCGTAGATACTAGGGTGACAGAAACCTTCACGAGTTGATTCTCTGTAAAACTCCACCAAGACTTAAGAAAACTTAAATGATAATCCTTTTTCAGGAAAACCAAAAACAATAAACCTCAATGGTCACAGAGCTGGAAGCAGTGAGGTCATTCATCCTAGGAAGCTGTCTCAGAGTTTAAGAAAACCGGGCTCAGGCAGGGCAAGAGACTTGATAAAGGATCCCCATATGTCCCCGACAGGAAACAGAACCCTGGGACTCTGGTTGCTGATGCAGCAGCTCTCCACAACATTGACAACTCAGTCAATGTTTGGTTTCCTTGACTTGGTTCCAGCTGCACTGAAGGTAGTTTGTACCACTAGGACACAACAGACAAGACTTGTCCTCCCTCCCTTGCTCCCTCCTCCTCCTCCTTCTTCCTCCTGCTCCTGTTCCTCCTCCTCTTCCTCCTTCTCCTTCTTCCTCCTCCTCCTCCTTCCTCCTCCTGCTCCTGCTCCTTCTCCTCCTCCTCCTCCTCCTTCTCCCCCTCCCCTCTCCTTGCACATCAGTCAAAATCTGATTGCGGGTAGAATCATTGTGGGTAGAATAGCAACAAATCAAGCTTCCACTGTGAAAGAAAAGTCTACGAAATTGAAGCAAGTCTCCCAAGATCAGGCAGAGACAAAGCCCATGGAGAATCCTCGTTAAATTCATGATGTTGTGTGTCTGTTTCTGTAAATAATTTTGGTAAAGTTAAGGTTGTTTCTAGTCACAGCTTTTATGCAACAAGCTTAATTAACCTATTCCTTTATAAATTGTTTATGCTTTGTGTGACTCTTAAACTTCTTTCTTGCCCTGATAGTTTGCGTGTTCTACTTGCATATTCTAGAATGATCTTTCATGCTCAGGTTTATGGTGCATCTGCAATTGATTTCCATGCAGAACTTTAGCTATGCATCTTCATATATACATCAGCAATTGCCTTTTCTGGTTATTGACTACTCCGTCCTTTCCTTCAGGATTTATAATGCCATTCCCTACTCATATCTCCACAGGCGTCCATTTCTGGATGCTTTATCACTTTGAATTTGTTTACTGTCCATATCTGAGCCAATTCCACACTGTCTGGAGTTGCATTAAAATAGCATTATCATGCATCTTGCAGGATGCTCCTGCTGGTTCCTCTTATAATTTTCATTCAAGAATATCCTAACTCCTCGCTGAATACAGGCTAGGAGGATCTTGTTAAGTCAATGAAGAACTCTAAAGAGATATTGACTGGATTTGCATTGAAACTATAATTGAATTTGTGCTGAATTATTATGTACATGATATCAAGCCTTTGTATCCATGGGAAGTTATTTAGATTCTCAATCATGACAATTAGTTGTGTTCTATAATTTTATTAATAAGAAAGCTATTTTCTGTTTATTTTGAGATATTTTGTGTTTTTAGCATTGATATAATCAGCAATATCTTTTTCTTCTTTATATCTTACAGACTGTTTTTGGTATGTAGAACAATATATATTTATATATCTATAAAGATGGGGCTGGCAAGATGGCTCACTGGGGAAGGGAGCTTGTCATCAAGCTTGGCAACCCAAGTTCAACCCCTAGAGTTCATATGATGGAAAATCATATGATAGAAAATCAGCTCTCCCAAGTTTTTCTCTGACCTCCAGACACGCGCGTTGGTATGGGTGCACTCATGTCCCATGCATGCATGTGCACGCGAGCACATGTGCAATAAAAATTACTTTAGAAAGGAGGTGAGAATGATTCCTTGACATGTCAGCAGCCTGGTTGGCTCAGGGCAGAGCTTCATCAACTTTCTTAGGCGTTCTCTGCTGTGCACCACTTCTGTGCCTTGCTCTTCCCTAGACCCAGATGTTGAGATCCGGAGAGGGATCTAATATTAACGAGGACATATATTTTAGTAGGAAATAAGATAAGTCGTGGACATTTTCTTTCTGCAAAATGATCCCCCACCCCATGTTTCCTGTGGTCACTCAAACCACCGTCCTTCCTATCCTGCACTTCTCCTGGCTGCGTTAAGAGACTCCTAGAGCATACTCCTTAGTTCAGATGGGAAGCAGCACGACGCATGAGCCTACAGTGGAAAGTAAGACTTTTGTGTATGAGAGGAACCAGTTCCAACTCTGGACTGCCTCAGTTTCTCTTATCGCCAGGGCAGAGTGCTCCGGGCTCTCTTTACTGAAATATCTTTCACTCTGACCCAAGGCTCGGTGGCTCTTCTATTGGGGACAGAACTCTGCTCCTCTCCTGATGGGGGTGGTCTCCCTTTGTCATGGGGTGCCCCTGTCTGCTCCCCCGACTCTGCAGCCTCTCAGAGAGCATCCTAACTTGTTTGCCAATATTGCTTCAGCGTTTGCATCTTTTATTTTCTTAATTTGCCCGGGATGTAAAGAAAGAGAGAGGAACGAGTAATCAATCACCCTTTTGTGATGAGCAGGATGCCCCCCTCTTTTGGCTCCTCTGCCTGTTAACTAGCCTGTTCTTCATATCTTATTCATGGAGCTGGTGGCGTACTGAGTTTCATTGCATGCTCACAGCAGATGCTTTTAAAATTTTACTTCAGTTTGGAGAAATCCATCATTTTCTCGGTGTTTCTTTTGACTCCTAAATTCTTGTTTCTTCTTTAATGTTATAAAGCAAAAAAGCTTTATAGAAGAAACTGTTATAAAAGAAACTGGTGTGTAAGAAGTATGTTCATGTGCCTGCACTTCCTGCAGCAGATCAAATGCCCTTTCAGGTTGTTGTTGTTATTATTATTATTTTGCTTTTTACCCAGGAAGAGTTCAGTGTTCCATTTTTCAGGCGTTCTGAGCCCCACCTCCTCTCTTTACTTTTCCTCCAGCTGACATGTGGGTGTATAGAGGGTCATTATGCCCCTGTGGTGGGGTGCTGAGGATTTTGAGATCCATACAGAGTGTTCTGGACCCGTGCTGGCTTCTGCTCCCTGGTAGGGTGACTGTTGGATGTTCCAGGTCCATCTGGCCTTTTGGGAGAAATGGAACAATTGCCCCTGTAGCTAAGCCCTCACTAATGCTCTCCCTTTGTTCTAACATTGAAGCTTTGCTGTCCTGCTATTGCTTGTTGGAGGATGACTGTTTGAGATATCAGGGTGCCCTGCCTACTATGAACAGACAGATGAGACTAAGAACATGAGTGCATGTGTGTTTGATTCATTACCTCGATTCCATTCTTCTCGTACGTACATGCTAACTATGGTTTGGGCATGTCCAGAGTCCTGCTGCTTCCTCTGGGTCATGCTCAGTGAATGAGCCCTGGTCTTATGCCCTTGAACTCTACATATGAGCCTGGGTGTTTTGAAAGTGCTTAGTGCGGACTAGAGTGGAACTGGGAAAGGAGACTGTGTTGCCTAATGCCTTCTCACGTTGTCTCCTCCTTCTGTCTCCAAGACTCTCAGATTGATGTGGACAGGGTTTTAGGGCTTCTAGATGTTCTGCCTGATCTTTCCTGGACCTCTTGTGACAGGCTCACATTGAGGTAAACACAGGAGAGTGCTTTAAAGCAGTCCACCATTGTAGTGGCATGTAACTGCATGGCTGGGACACTCTCTCTTTGAACAGGGCATAGATTCGTATTGTGTGGGCTGCACATAGTGCCTGTTGAGCCTTGGTAACACAAATAAGCCATGAACAAAACCTTAACCAGTGGGAAATTAGAGCAAACAACGAGCACTCATTCACTGGCAAACTTGAGATGTCTATCAGTATGAATGATGTCCTACTCTAGAGCCACAAGCCAGGGCAGCCACAGTGGGGAGAGAGTGTGGAGACACCTGCTCCTCCACAGAACAAAGAAACTGTGTTCTAGATGTTACAGCCGCAACTCATGGATGTAAAAGCATCATTGGTTCCTCTTACTTGGGATTTTAAAGGCAATATCTTTTCTTGACTGCAACCCTTCATGTAGTAAGAAAATACCGTTGACATAGAAAGAGATATAGAACTTTTATTTGACGTGGATATTTTTTAGAAACTCTGTGTCGTGTATCTTTCGCATTTTTGTGAGGTCAACCTTCTCAATCCAGCCAAAGCACGCTAGAAATGCATGATCATATTTAGAATTATTTTAAGGACTTGAACTTTTGGGCTTGGGAGCTGTTTCCTGAATAGGCCCCGAATCTGTTGACTCATTTCCACAACGGCTTTCTAGAGGTCTAGGGTCAGTAGGATTACGTAAGGTAAAATCAATTCTGTTTCCAGATCTGCGGGGAAGTAATTGCAGATTGTATCCTGCTGGGCTGGCGGGCCTGATGAGTGTCTCTAAAAGCCTCTCTGATGTGGGTGTCGCCTCCATTAGCAAGCAGGAGGACTTTCAGGTCCTATTCCGTAAATATTCATAACCTCTTAAATGTCACAGACGTGAACACATGCTCACACCCTTCTGCTGAGAAAAAATGTCCAAATTTTTAATGGAGCCAGAGGGTCCCTACAGGTCTTCCTGTGTCTAGCTGGGTGCTACTGTGACTGGTGGCTTTGAGGTCATTTGATTTTCTGTCCTGTTTCTTTGTTTAACTTGCTATTCATTATTGATTAGAATATTACATAACTCCAAGGGGAAGAGGTAACTTGGAGAATGCTGATAGGTATCACGTGATTATCACTTGAGAGCAATCCAAAGAATTTTGTCTGGCTATTATTATCCTTAGGGCAGAAATGCAGTCTCAGTGTAAATTACAGATCTGATTGGCCTTTCTTTCAGCATCTGTACAGACTCACTTTCTGCACCTTTTGTTGGCCACTGTCTTGGTCAATCTGAGTTGCTAGAACAAAAAACTAAGGAGTGGTGTGTAAGCAACCACCATGTATAGCTTCCTGTTCTGGATGCTAGGAAATCCAAGGTCAGAAAAAAAAAACAGGTTTGTTGTCTGACGAGGACCTGTTGTTCATTGGCAGGAACTTTTGCTGCGACCCTTGTGTAAAGGAAAGAGAAACAAAGCTTTCTGGGATTCTTTTCTCTCTCTCTTTTTCTCTTTCTTTCTTTCTTTCCTTTCTTTCTTTCTTTCTTTCTTTCTTTCTTTCTTTCTTTCTTTCTTTCTTTCTTTCTTTTTTTTCCTGGGGACTGAACCTATGCAACACAGGTAAGAGCTCTTCACTGGACTGTATCAGAATGTGGGTCAGTAGGATTAAGATACAAAAAAAAATGGCCATCTTACCAAAAGCTATCTACACATTTAACACAATCCTCATTAAAGTCCCAATACAATTATTTACAGACCTTGAAAGAACAATAGTCAACTTAACATGGATAAACAAGCAAAAAAACAAAAACACAGAATAGGTAAAACAATCCTCTACAATAAAAGGTGTACTTCTGGAGGTATCACCATCCCTAATTTCCAGTGCTACCACAGAGCTGTAGTAATAAAACAACATGGTACTGGCATAAAAACAGACATGTAGACCGATGGGATGGAATAAAAAACCCAGGTATAAATCAACACACCTACAGACCCCTGATTGTTGACAAAGAAGCCAAAATTATACAATGGCAAAAAGAAAACATCTTTAACAAATGATACTGGCCTAACTGGATATCAGCATGTAGAAGAATGCAAATAGACCCACGTCTATCACCCTGCACAAAACTCTAGTCCAAGTGGATCAAAGACCGCAACATAAATCCAGTTACACTGAAACTGACAGAGGAGGAGATGGGGAACAGCCTTGAACATATTGGCACAGAAGACAACTTCCTGACAAGAATACCAGTAGAACAGACACTGAGATCAACAATTAATAAATGGAACCTCGTGAAATTGAAAAGCTTCTGTAAGGCAAAAGACACTATCAATAGGATATAGCGGCAGCCTACAGAAGGGGAAAATATCTTCATCAACCCCACACCCAACAAAGGACTGATTTCCAAAACATATAAGGATCTCAAGAAACTAGACATCAAAAACTCCAAAGCAAAACAAAACAAATAATCCAATTAAAAATGGGGTACAGATCGTAACAGAATTTAACAGAAGACTCTCAAAGGGCCAAGACACTTAAAACAATGTTCAGCATCCTTAGCCATCAGGAAATGCAAATAAAAATGACTCTGAGATCCCATTGTATACCTGTCAGAATGGCTAAGATAAAATCCTCTAAGGGCAGCTTATGTTGGAAATGGTGTGGAGCAAGAGGAACACTCCTCCACTGCTGGTGGGAGTGCAAATTGTTCAACCACTTTGAAAATCAATATGGCAGTTTCTCAGAAAATTAGGAATTGATCTACCCGGAACTCAGTTATGAGCATCGTTGAGCAAGTGTCCTTGTGAAATGACTGAGCATCCTTAGGGTATATGCCCAAGAATGGTGTCTATGCTCCTAGCAGCATTATTCATAACAGACAGAACCTGGAAACAACCTAGATGCCCCTCAACTGTAGAATGGATAAAGAAAATGTGGTACACTTACATAAAGGAGTATTACTTAGCTGTTAAAAATAATGATATGAAATTTGCAGGCAAGTGGGTGGAACTAGAAAAAAATCATCCTGGGTTAGGTAACCCAGATGGAGAAAGATAAACATAGTAGGTTTTCACTTCTAAGTGAATATTAGCTGTAAAGTGAAGGGTAACCATGTTACAGTCTACAGCTCCAGAGAGGCTAATTTACAAGGATGACTCCAGTTAAGACTCCCAGCAATAGTGGATAAGTGGCCTGGACTGGCCATCTCCCGTAATCAGATTGGTGACTACGCTAATTGTCATCAGAGAGCCTTTGTCCAGTGACTGATGGAGACAGATGCGGAGATCCACAGGCAAGCCCTGGGTTGAGCTCCGGGAATCCTGTCGAAGAGAGGAAGGATTGTAGGAGCCAAGGGGGTGTCAGGGACATCATAAAGGAAACCACAGAAACAACCAACCTGTGCTTATAGGAACTCAGACTCTGGACAGACAGGTAGGGGCTGGCCAATGCCCTGTACCTATGTGTGACAGTTGTATAGCTTGGTCTTCTTGTGGGACACCTAGTGGAGGGAGCAGTGGCTGCTCCTAATGCTATGACTGGCTTCCAGGAACCTATTATTCTTCATACAGACTTGCCTTTCCCAGCCTTAATACAAGGGGAGTAGCTTAGTCCCATCTTAACTTGATATGCCATGCTTTGTTGACACTCGTGGGAGGTCTGCTGGTTTCTGAACAGAAACAGAGGAGGAGTGGATGAGGGGACAGGGAGGAGAGGAGGGGAGGGAATTGAAGAAGAGGAGGGAGACAAAACTGGGGTTGGGATGTAAAATAAATGAATAAACTTAATTAATAATGAAAAAGGACAAAAAAAGAAGTCCCAGCTATATCACTTTTGGGCATCTACCTAAAAGATGTTCAATCATACCCCAAGGACACTTGCTTAGTGTGCTCATAACAGCTTTATTCATAATATCTAGAACCTGGAAACAACCTAAATGTCCCTCAACCAAAGACTAGGTAAAGAAAATGTGATACATTTTTGCAATGGAATATGACTAAGCTGATAAAAACAATGACATCATGAAATTTGAAGGCATTATTGGAAGGAACTAGAAAAAAAATTCTGTGTGAGGTAATCCAGACCCAGAAACACAAATATACTAGGTACTCCCATCTAAGTGGGTCTTAGATAAAGGACAGTCATGCTACAATCCACAGTCCTAGAGAGACTAGGTAATAAGGACTTGGGGGTGGGGGAGAAGCATGGATTTCCATGGGAAGGGAAAACTAGAAGAGACCTCATGGGTGGACTGGGGCGGGTGGGAATGAGAACTTGACGGACCAGGTTGAGGGATAGATGGGGGAGAAAGTACTGAAAGAGATGATTGGAAAGGGGTTGCATTTGGGGGTTAAGCAGAAATCCTGTGCAAGGGAAACTCCTAGAAATCTACAAGAATGACTCCAGCTAAGAAGTCTAGCAATAGGGGAAACAGCCTGAACTAGCCATCTCCTGTGGTCAAGAAAGGCTTTCAGTGCAGGGAGGGATTGGGGCACCCACCCAGCCACATAACCTTCAACCTACATTCTGTCCTAACTATAGGATGTGCTGGGCAAGGGTGGTGCAGATTGTGGGAGTGATGACCGGTCTAGCCTGAGATCCATGCCATGAGAGTGAGCCCGCCCCTTATTGTCTGGAGCACCAGGACACGGAGGCTGTATGACTCGGAGACCTAGGGTAGAACCAAACAAGATTGGGGGAAATGTCAATGTAATAATGCCTAAAGTTGTTCTGATATACTCATAGATTGGTGCCTACCCCAAAAGCCATCAGAGAGACTTCATCTAGTAGCTGAAACAGATGCAGAGATCCACAGCCAAGCATTGGGCATAGCTCAAGAACTCCTGCTCAAGAGAGAGAGAGGAAGGATTGTAGGAGCCAGAGGGGTCAAGGACAACCACAAGAAAAATCCACAGAAACAACTAACCTGGACTCCGAAGAGCTCACAGAGTCTGAACTGACAACTAAGGGACCTGCATGGGACTGACTTAGGCCCTCTACATATGTGGGACAGTTGTGTAGCTTGGTCTGCTTGTGGGACTCCCAACAGTGGGAGCAGGGGATCTCCCGAATGCTTTGGCTGGCTTTGGAGAATCTATTCTTCATATTGGGATGCCTTGCCCAACTTTAATACAAGGGGGGTGGTGTGGTGTGTGCTTAATCCTACTGAAACTTGATATGTCATGTTTTGTTGATATCCATGGGAGGCCTGCCCCTTTCTGAACGGAAATGGAGGAGGAGTGGATGGGGTTATGGCAGAGGGGAGGTGGAGGGAGGGGATGGGAGGAGAGGAAGAAGGGAAAACTACAGTCAGGATGTAAAATAAATGAATAAATTTAATTAATAAAAAATAATTGAATAAATTTAATTTCATTTGTGTATATTGTGTTTTATATGCCTGTATGTCTATAATATGCATGCAATGCCTTTGGGAGCCAGAAGAGGGCACCTTGGACTGAAGCCACAGGCAGTTTTGAACCTTTTGTGGGTGATAGGATTGTGCTCAGGTCCTTTGGAAGAACAGCCAGGGCTCCACCCCCTGAGCAATCTCTACGGACCTTTTTTTGTTGTTTTTACTCATTTTTAAACAAAGTCTTGCTAACTTGCCTGGACTGACCTTGTTCTTTTTTTTTATCCCAGGCAGGTCTTTAATTTGTAATCCTCCTGCCTCAGCACCCCAAGTAGCTGTGATGAGGGAGTCTTTTAGCAGAGCACTAATCCCATTTCTCTCAGCTCCACCTCACGGTCTACCCAGTCCCAGCAGCGGTTCTTAATGCTCTTGCTTTGGAGCTTATTTGTTTGTCTCTAAATTTCACAGGACACCTTCAGCCCACAGCGCCAGCTCGTTCTCGCTCGTTCTCTCATTAATGAACTAAATTAATCACTGTCGCTTGCTCATTCCACACTTGTGTGAGAGTTGTAATTTAAGGTTGTCAAAAATTAGGCTTTGATCCTTCTATTGTGTCCTTGGAAACACGACTGTGTCAAAACAGACTCATTTCATCATGCGCGCAGACAACGTAACGGCTTTATTTTGCCAGTAAAGGAGGTAGACTCTTTTCAAGTGGGTAGCCCGGTTTCATGTTCTTCCTAGCAGACGATGGTATGATGCTTGGGAGCTGAAGGCAACTTCCATGATCTCCTGGGAAAGTGGGAAGCCTTGCAGGTGGTCTGCCTACTTGGGGTCTGGCGGTGAGGACTAGAGAGAGCCAGAGCGTGGTGTCCTGTGACACTTGAGGACGGTGTCCTTTTGGTACTTGTGGCCTGTGCCCATGGGGGTTCTGGATGCAGTTCCGGTCTGTCTGAATTTTGCCCTGTAGGCTTCCATTACTTTAGCCATCCGCTGTAGCAACTTGGGCCTTGTTGTCTGCAGCTTGACTGAAGTAGATTCTCAGCAGCTCTTGTGTGCTGTAGAACCTGAGCCCTTGTCTCTTCTACACCCAGTGGCTGACCCCAGGTCCATAATGGACTTTCTCCCCTTTTCTGGTCTACGTGTTAGCTAGAGGAGGTAGACCTGGGTTGCAGACATTCTAACCATTGCTTTCAATGTCTGGTGTTTTAAAAGAAATATGTCCATTTTTTCTAAATCATTAAGTTTAGTGCTATGGAGTTATTCACAAACCCTCTTGCTGTTTTAAGATGTTGGTCGCATCTACAGTGATGCCTCCTTTCTTCCTCCTGGCTCTCGTATCGGTTGATAGCTTTTCCAGTCCCTGCGTCAGGAGCTCCTGGCTTTTTGCTTTCTGTTTCATCGGCTTAGCTCTTTTCATTATTTTATCTCCTGCCTTTGATTTTCTTTGAGTCTAATTTCCTTTTCTTTTTCTACCTTGCTGAGTTGGGAACTTACATTATTGATTTTTGACCTTTCTCTCTCTCTCTCTCTCTCTTTTTTTAAGTCCTCATTTGGAGTTGTAAACATTTCTCTAAGCAATGACTTAGCTGTCACCCACAAGCTCCAAATGGTTTCTGCTCTCAGTTATTTTCTTCAATGGGTAAGTTGCTGAAAGGTGTTGCTTGATTCCAAAACAGTTAAAACTTTTCTTTTTTAAAAGATTTATTTATTTATTTATTTATTTATTTATTTATTTATTCTGAATACAATATTCTGCCTGCATGTGTACCTGCACCCCTGAAGAGGGCACCAGATCTCATTATAGATGGTTGTGAGCCACCATGTGGTTGCTGGGAATTGAACTCAGGACCTCAGGAAGAAGAGTCAGTGCTCTTAACCGCTGAGCCATCTCTCCAGACCTCCCCCCGATCCGCCTGCTTCTATTTTGCCTGTCCTCTTGCTCCCCATTTACATGGGAGGGCTTTCAAGATGTCTTTCCAATAGTCTCAATGGCCAAAGGACTTCTCTTCTCATCCCCCCACCCCTGCATGGCGCCCTGCCACATCGGACTAATAGGAAAGACTGGGAGACAGTCCTCTGACCTCTGACCTCCTCACCCCACACCCCCGGCACATCTTGCTTTGCCCTGCTACATTTCAGTGCCACTTCCTCTCAGTGTCCCCTTTCTGAATGCGAGCCATCTCGTTAAGAGCGTGAAGATGGTGAGCACTATGCGAGAGATTTATGAGCCACGTCCTATATATTGTTCCAGGGAGGAAATGCGGGAGTTTGGAAGATTGATTCCCCAGGAGAAAGCCTGCCGGCCAGGGTGGCTTTTCTGCTGCATCACGGTATTTTGATTGTTGGTCCCTGACTATCCCTGTGGCTTTTTCCCCTGAATACCTCCGTCACATTCTCATCACCTCCCTGCAAGACCTGTACTTAACATGGTGTATTGATAAAGAGCACATTAGCTTTTGCAATGCTGTCTTAGCATGCAGAAAAATTATATGTGCACTGAGAACAGCGGCTGCTGCTATTTGCCCATAATTGACATTTATTGGAAGAGGATTTCCATTCATGATGTCATCAAGCAAGTGAGGTCTTGTGGTTATTCAGCCATGAGACTTAAAAAAAAAAAAAAACCTGTGGAAAGCTCATGCACCTTGGGTGGCATGGAGCTTCTGCGGTCAGGATGGGCTATGGGGATCAGCAGTGGCTCCAGTTGTGACTAAAAAGAAAGATGGATGAAGGTGGGGGAACATGGCTGCCAGAATAGGGCGGACCCTGGCTGTGGAGAGCCCTGAAACTATCAGTCAGGAAAGATAGTGGGCTGAGAACCAGGCGAGGTATTAGAGGAATGGGAACCCAGGAATAACAGTCCTGGCTTCTGTAGCTGCCTCCCCTTTGAGTCTCCGAGGAATTGCCCATGATCTTGGCAGTCTCCAGATATGTTAAACCAGTGGCCAAAAGCATCTTGAGGAAATTGGATTTCCATTTCTAATCTGATTGCCATTTAATTTGCTGCCCTTTAGATGTGATTATTTACCATTTGCATTGCTAAACCCTGGCAAGGAGCTCTCAATTGATTTTTCTTCTTCATAAGACTGTCTCACTTGGCAGCCCAGTCTGGACTCTAACTTGCCATCCTCCTGTCTCGGTCTTCTGAGTGCTGGGATGGCAGGTGTGAGTGACCATACTTGGCCATGATAAATTTTTTTTTAATGTTAAAAAAAATCAAGTTTTTTTCAAACCAAGAAACTGAATTGGATGGCATGGATGGGCGGTGAGAATCCTCTTGGCAGTGTGATGTAACAGCTCTTGACCGAAGTTTCCTTTCATGAAAAATTTCCAAACACTTCAAGCACAGAGCTCCGAAGTAACATCCCCATCCCAGCCATGCTGCAGCAGTGAGTTCCTCTCTCCCCAAAGATAGCCAGAGACACTCAGCAGTTGCGTCTTAGCACCGCAGTTCAAACCCCAAAGGCCTTGGCAAGGGAAACTGGAAATCAGTCCCTCACACATGTCCTATAGCATGAAGTCTCAGCACTGCCTGCCTGCATGGCCTTAGATCAGCCGTGCAATGCTAAGTCTCAGCTTCCTCACCTTCACAATGAGCCAGTGATATCCCCCTGGATCGCTGGGTCTCTGGGAAGAATAGATGAGAAAATAGCTCTAAAGCGCTTCCATAAAAATCCAGCTATGCTCAACAAGAAAAATCATAATAAACACAAGCTACTAAACTGGAAGAAGAAGTGGTGTCTGAAGGAGACAATATAAATCTACAGTTTGTGTTTTTGCTTTTATTGTCTCCTTCTGTAGACGTCCAGGTACCCAATCAGGTTGCAGGTATACCAGATGTCCCCATCCTCCAAGCTATGGAGGTTTGCTCACAGCATGGCCGCTGCTCTTCTCTGACGAGGCAACATCACACAAGGACCAAGTCCTCCTCTAAGACACATTCGCACTGCTCAAAGTGAGCTTGGAACTGGGGCTGCATGGAGGTGGAAAGGCCCAGAGTGTGCCAGCTCAGACGATGGTGGTGAAGATTCTGGGCAAAAGGTCTCAAATCTACACCCTGCACAATGACTCACAGTAACTGTAGGGAGCTGCAAGCCACCAGCTCGGCTGTCTCAGGCAGTGATTAATCTCCCTGCAATCAATGGTCTCTTAAAGGCAGCAGCCACAGAGGCTGTGAGCATCCATAAAGCAGGATTCATTGCATCTGTAGAGATTTTTTTTTGTCCACCCACACATTGGACACCCGTAGCCCCCACTGGTTACCCAAGAACCCACGCAGCTAGTTCATGGCTTCTAAGTGGCCAGGAATCAAGTCTCCATCACAGCTTCTTGCCACCTCCTCCATCCCCATCAACAGAGGAAATATGCATCTTCAGAACAGGGGTGGTCTTGCTGGGGACAAGCCGAGTGACCCTGAGTCATGGACCAGATCCTCCCCAGTATCAGCTGCGGTGTAATGGGAGTCAGGGTCCTTGTATGAAGGGTGTGAGGCAGAAGCCGAGAAACAAAGAACACAGTCACCTCATTAGAGTGTGCCTGCACACCTCATATGGGGAGGCTTTGGGGACGCA